GAACAACACCTTGTTGTTGGAGAAATTTTATTTAGGATGAAAAAATGCCCAACATTTTTAAACACAATCCCTGCATACAAAAATCTTTATCAGAATATATACAAAGTAAAAACTTTTAAAATGCGGGAATGAGGGCTGTCTCATTTACTGAATCATTCTAGCTATATACAAGGACGGTTTTTTAATGTTTCATAGAAAGCAAACTTTGTAACTAATTTTCCCCCTTATTCAGTTCTTATTATTGACAGAAAATTGTTTTGAATAATTAAATTAAAATGGAGAACCTCCTTTCCTCATGACCATACAAAAGATATCTTAAATTCAGTTTTGACTAGTGCCAGCAACATTGGTGACCTGCCTTATGGTGGCAACATTAGGGAGGTAAAAACCAGGCAAACGGACTGACCTCGACCACCCAAGTAGTGACAAAAACCAGACTAAAACCAAATACATAAATAGAAAAGCAACTTTCTGCCCACCATTTCACCAGGCACACACACACATTCAGGTTATTCATAGGCTGCAGCTCCCTGTACTCAGATTGCCATTTATCATACCAGTCACCCTGACAAGTAATGATGTCAACCCCTCCCCCTCTCTCCTCCCCCCCCCCCCCCCCCCCCAGGTCCTTGGTCCCTACGCTTGCCAATGGAGCACAATTAATATTTATGTATCATTAAATGTCACAATATATATTTCATGTGCCCACATTGGCTACATGTCGCAGATACATCCATTATAATAATAATACTCCTGGAATATTAAACATGGCTGGTTTTGAAAGGCCTGAGGCTGTGTCATTGAGGTAGAGTCTTAGACTGAAAATTTCTGTCACAGCCCTGTCATAAGAGAGTCCTCTGTTTCTCAGGGTAAAGAGATAATGTGATGAGAACAATCATAATATAATCATCCTTGTTAATTCTAACTAATTGGTCAATTAATAACTAGAGGAAATATTTCTGAATTTTTGCACCCTTCTGTGATACTTAATGTGTACCCCAAAGATGACATGACAGACAAATTTGAAAAATTTCTTCAACTAAATAATTCTCAGTCAAATTTACCACATCCGTTTCTATCACGATAAACATTCAATACTGCCACAGAGACAATACAATCCCATTTCTCCTTCTCATTCAGTAAAAAAAAGTATTACAACATGCCAAAGCTTAAAAAAACCCAAGACAATATCACTTCAATGCACTTAGAGATAAGGGTCACATAATCTTCTATAACCTCTGTTACAATCCCTATGCCGTACAATAAAACAATACCCGTCGTTTACGATACAGACAACACTCAGTGCTGTACCTGAATAGAATGACCTAGAATTCTTCAACCCGAGTTCCACAGGTCCATCAGTGAGTCATCCAACCTATCCTCATACCCGAGCCGTAGGTGGAAGTACCCTGGGAAACGGGGTGTTTGCTAATCCATCATGTTAGGGTTCAGAGGGTTGGCTCTGCCTCTCCAGACAGATGTACTTATTTAACTCTGGGGGCCTCGAAAGGGTGTTTGCCTTTACTTTAAGCACTATTTTGTATACTTTGGTCTGAGATACATTAGTTGTAGTCCAAATAAATGAAATATTGAGCCACTTTTATTAGGAAAAAAGTTGTTGCTGATGTTTCAGGGCATTAGCCAGGGATTTCAAAGGAGAGGGGGGGGGGGGGTTATTTTCTAAAAAACCATAATGTACCGAGATCAAATTTTGCCAATCGCAGACCTTTTCCCAGCGAACAGGGCAGTTTCTTTCAACACCCCCCCCCCCCCCACTAGTGGCCTGCTGACAAACTCTAATTAATGGACTAATTCTGTAGACTAAAATGTTTGATGTTTAAAGAATATTTACAAATTCAGTTCTTTTGTGAAAAAACCCTCAGAGACTTAAAAAGAAAAGAGTCTGCTTTGAAGAGATGCTGGAGCCAAACTCAGTAAACTAGGGGAGTTTGTGAAGACAACACAACCACCGCCATTTATTTTTCTTCCGAAATGAGACATTTTAAGACAGGACTTTTAACCTGAGTACAGGCCAAAAGACTACACAAACTCCCTTTTTCTTTTGAAATCAGCCATTTTGGGGGGGGGGGGGCTAGTATACGAGAGCATTTTATAATTAGTCTCAAGTTGATTGCTTTGCAACATGCTGTGACCCATGAGTTATAAAAACAGTAGAATTACTTTCTCACTATGAAAATATATTTTGTATATTTGTATCACCAGTTCTAAACAACCGAAAATCCCAGTGAACAACTCTTCTGAGACTCTTAATTCTATTAGGTTTTGTGCAGCAAGACTTTCCTTGAATCTATATACAAGCAAACAGGGTTTGATTATTGTTTATACATCTGTAGTTAAATATACAGACATGATTTTTGTGGTATGGAAAAAGGTAGGAAGAAATAGCTCAGTGACCTTATGATGGGGGGGGGGGGCATCTGAGATGAAAAACTGCCAAGCAGAAAATGATTTTTTCAATTTAAAGCAGAAAACTTGTCCAAATGAAAATTTTGTGACATAAGATATGCTGAATCAGAGGAGATTTTAATGATGGGCATTTTGCCCCTATCTTAATATCATAACAATGGTTAAAATAATACAAATAATTGAATTTCCATTTCTGTTTAAAAGTTGTCCATCTGGTTTGAGTGCAGTGCTAATCCTAAAAGGTAAAGGGAGTTATGGACAAGTGCCTGCTATAAAAGCCACTGGGCACCAGAAATACATGGGTGCAAGGGAGTTTCACGGTTGGGTTGATTAGGCGAGGTCTCAGATTTCACACTGTTGACCTGTGCTAGGAGTCAATAGGTCACATGTCTCGTGTGCCTAATCTCTCCCTCGGCCCCCCTCCCCCTTTCATCCACCCCTCTCCGGGATTTGACATAATTACTGGTGTACTTGTCCAGCACAAATGATTACTGTAGTCAAGCAACTGGACTGTAAGTCATGCTCTCCCACAAATGCAAGTGACTTGCTAATGGATTGCTTGTCCAACATAAATTGTACTGGATTGCCCCCCCCCCCCCCCCCCCCCCCCCCCCCACTCCCTCAAAAGTTACACATTTTTTTAAGGAATGGGGCAAGCAAATTTTCAGACCTAGTTGACCAACCAAACCAGTGTCTAAAAAACACATTATACAAGTATCAGGCCCTACTTTCTCTTTCTCTCACTCTCCGGTATTCATGCACACATACACATACAAAAAACCCCACTTCCTCTCTCTCTCTTTATCCTTCAACACAATAGGAGAGATATCAGGAGCAAAGTGGGTGGGTGTTGTCCAAAGTTGACTGTGTAAACTATATAAACAAGGCTATGACCTGTACAACAGCCAGCGTGTATCTCCATGCACAGAGACCACTAAGCCTGTTCACACAAATCATAACCTGGACCGATTCTATATCGGTCTTAAATTGGTCCAATTGGTTAAATGGTACAGGAAGTATCAGACACCCAAAGAGTCTATTATTCTACATATTTTGATCCAACTCAAAGTGGATTCTTGTTGAATGCAATCAGATTAACATGCATTGAGAAGAACAAAGAAAAGCTGGTGATTGTAAGCTTACATTCGTAACAACAGGTGTGTTATTCTGAGTGTCTCAAATAGGATCAAATATGGTTCCCACTTGAAAGAAAGCAGCATAATCCACTAACAAAAATGTAATGGTTTCCCCATCTCCCACAGGCACTGTCCTACCAGGGGCAGAGCAATTAAATATGGGCCTGGGTACGAAGTGGGTCTTGCCATATATGAGCTACACAGATAAATTTTATTGGGAATGGACCCTAAAACTGCACTGAGATCACAGTACTTATATACAATCAACTCTGTTGGAGATAAACTGCAACTCACTCAGGGATGAGACCAGTCCACGCAGAAAAAGTAGGAAAATTAGCAGGGGATCCAGAGTACAAGATTCACAAGAATGACCCAAATGACCATGAAAAAGTTGGAATTCCGACAAAAGTCGGAAAAGTCTCATCAGTGTTCATGCACCAAGCTGGAATATTTTTGATGAATCCAGTGAACATACTGAATGAGACTGGCTGGGCCAGTAAGACCTGATATGATATAAACAGCCACATGGGGTAGCAAGGGTTCAGAGTATCACCCATCACCACAGTACAAATTATAGACACATTTGCCCTAAGGTCTTGGCCCTGGTGTTATCTGACCCAAAATTTTAGACAATCATCTCTGGAAATCATTGCAATCTTGCTGTAATCTTGGTACAATTCATGTCTGATTGTGAAAATGACCCTTAAGGGCATTGTGTAGTTGATTTTTCATTTGCAAGGAGGAAGGGCCATAATGATACAGGTGTGATATAAACCTGCATTTCTATAAGATCACATTTTTATGAACTACCAGTTTTATTAAATTACTTTATGTATGAGATATTTAATTATCACTGAAGTGATGCTTGTGTGACCCAGGTGTTAAGAACATTGAGCAATATCATCAGTAATGAAAATGGACAGTTTAAAAAAAAAATACTGTAAATACAAGCACCGAAGGTGTGCAGCTCTATACGGGGGATCAAGGGGAGGGGGGGGATAAACACAAAATCCAAATACACAGATTTGGAAGACTTTCATGTCTAGTATAACAACACTAACGCTCATTTCCCACATTCAAAACCATATTTGATCCACAGTAACAGATCCATATGGCCGACCCACTTGAAAGTTTACTGCATACTGACAATGGGAAATCTGTTCAGTGTATAATATTAGGGGATTTTGTGGCAAGCTTTCAAGTGCGTCAGCCATATTTGATCTGTGGATCTGTTAGACTGCAGATCAACTTGTACCATCATTTTACCAGGTGCGTCTCGATAGCCGAAGGTTCACTGGTCCAAAATATCATAACAGTTTCAACATTTTTTGTAAATAAGACGGTTTATTGGTCCAAGGGTTCTTCATTGAACATTTGAACCAATGAACCTTCACGGTGCTGCTAGGGCTCTATTTCGCCGCGACTCTGACGGCTTACCTTGAGCAATGAAGATATCAAAGTATTGGAGCAAATTGGCCCTCTGTAGAACTCTATATAGCTGGAGCTCTGACTGGCTACTCGGCACCGTGGACGTCATCATAAGCCGTCCCTGATTGCACACCTGTCCCTTTTGTAATAAATAAAGCTGAAATTAGAGGAAATTCATTTTTTGAAAACAGAAAATTTTAATAGAGTTTTTCCTGCAAAAACAAAAAATACAGAAACTCAAACTGTTCTTCAATTAAAACTAGGCCTACACATATCCCAGATTTTAATTATTAATGTGCCATAGTCCTAAAATGGTTATGCAACATTTAAATAAATATTAAATGTTCTCATGTGCCAGGGGAAAAGTGGATGTCACAAATAAATCATAAAGATTAATATCGCTTTCTGTCTGTTGGAAAATAGAATCAGTATTAAAATAAAAAGAAAATTTAATTCAAATGAAATATTTTTTCATTCAAAAAATCATTGACAAATAAATATTTGCCTCTTCCAATGATGAAGATTTTAAAATGCTGTTAAATATTTTCTGAGTATATCCAGGCAAAAAAAAATGGAAACAAAAATAATGACAATGTGGACACCCTTTTTAGAATAAAAAAAAACAGTTCATCGAACAGTCAAACACTGTTTATATGTCTGTTGATATGTATTTTTCTTCGTGTTTACATCGTGTGAGCCTATCCTGAATCTCGATAAACAGCGCCCTCTGCTGGCTTCAATAATTCCCGGCTTTTCCTGTTAAATTCTTCACGTAACTGTTAATTCATCTTCAATTACGATTCCTACTTTCACTCTTGAAAATGTAACTGACCCCTCAGTTCAACAAACTGTTGAATCTACAAATGTTAAAGAGACCTGCCTCCATAGCAAACCTAATAAAGAATCGACGTCACCCATCGATCGCTACATACATTGTGAGTGGCAAAATGGCCGGCCAAACTCCCCTTGTTTTTAAGCAAGGTTTGAATCACAAGAAGGTTGATACGACGCTGAAGACACTAAGATCGAGCTGCTGAACACCTAACTCACCTCTCCAAGTCTACCTGTGTAATCGTAAGAGCGACAGACCGTCCGTTAAGCCATCATTTCTGCTGACGAGAAATTTTCCCCCGCGTCGTGTCCGCTATTTGACCCCTGCGTTCGCTTTGTGCGTCTGTGGCTTTGCTGGGCCAAACAGCTGGCACTTTAACGTTAAATCCAACTCCCTCCCTTCAACAGCTTGCGTCTGGGCAGAGTCCTAGTTCTGTCTATCATACACGCTTACCTACAATACACGATGGTGGCTGGTCCGAATCATCGGATCCACAGCGGTGAAATCAACATTGAAAATTCCCCTCGCTCACACAAAGGAATTTCTGCTGGTAATACCATTTCCCCGACCCTCAGCACTTCGGTACGCGGGGTGGGGGCAACTGAGGGTAGATTTCCTAATATGGGTTAAGACTCGTGCGTCATAGGGCAGCCCGGGGAATGTGATTGGTTGCGAGCCCCACGTGAGGGCTGTTTCTCGTGAGGGGTGGGAGGCCAAATGATGACGTATTTTCCCCCTGGAGGGAGGAGTTGGATATAAGGCTCGTAGTCCGCATACTAATGCTTCGACTCGTCCAGCTGGCGCTACACGTTGGTAGTGCCAAGCTGAAGAATCGTAGGGGGGAGGTCACGGATAATATGAGACCAGACTGGTTTTTATTGAAAATTCAATTAAAAATTAACCCCGAGTTTCGATAACACCGGCCAAAATACCCGTAACTGCCTGATATGCGGCACGACTTACCCTGCTGATGGCGAGTTGCCAAGGAAGGCTGGGTGGTTTTTTATGTGTGCTGAGATCTTATAGCTATAAGGTTTTAATTCAGTTAAGACGCTGCCTGGCCATAAGCCTAGCCCAATATTTCAGGGGGGATACAATATAAACTGCTAACCACTTGACAGCCTTACGAGTTATCACTTTTCGTTAATTTGCCTTTGCTTTTCCTGTTTTTCTCCAGAATGACAAATTAACAGCGAAAAGGTGCTAAATGTGTATTTGTGTTAAATTTGTGTATTTTCTGTCTCTTTGGCTACTTTTACCTGAAATTACACACATTTGTTCGACAACTCGACTTCTCTGAAATTCTGAAATATTGAAAAAAAAATAAACAACTTAGCAAGTAAAACTGAGTATGTTAAAAAAAATAACGTTCACACACTCGATTCCCCTGTCCAACATAAAAGTAATAATAATGACAAAATGCCGAACCATAAAACACACCGGCAAATAATGAACCATGTTAACATCAAACAAGGGGACGTTTGGAGCGTCCGCGATATCACGACTAGTATTCAGCGAAGCCGCGGCCCAGGGTGACTTTGCGTCTCGGGGCTTCCGTCCGGCAATCTGTCCTTCCGTCTTCCCACAGGAAAAGCGCCTTAAGTAGCGTCCTCGGCCCCGCACTAGTGCTGATATCTGCCGAAGCGTTTGGCAAGAAAACCCTACCACACTTGTATTGATTCCGACTTCGTTGAATTTTTTAAAAATTATAACCAATTGGAAGCAAAGGTTCTGAGACAATACTGTTCAAGAGATCAATGATTTATGATAGATTTTTGTCATTGCCGTGTACGAACATGCGGGCATTGTTCATGGAAGTTGGATGATGAGAAATTGAGAGGGAGAGAGAGGACTGAAAAGATGAATAAAGAAGGAGAGAAAGGGGGCCACAGGGACGCTCATACATATATGCATGATATGAAGCTATAAATGATATAAATTGCACCCCAGGCTTCTCAGTGTAATTAATTCTACTTCGTCATCCATGAGAGATGATTTCTGTGCCCTTGAAAAGGGAGGGGCGAACTGAGCACGTGAAGACTTACAAACCATCTGTGGCCGACCTCATTTTTAGGGATTGTTTTTGATTTTTATAACAGGTTTTAACTGCTTCTGCTTTCGCGTCCAGTGACACCAAAAGGAAGGGGAGAGAAAGAAGGGGGAGGGGGGGTCGATTGGATCGTTCGTTGGTGGTCCGGGCATTTAATATGTTTTTTATAGTAGTGCATTGGGATCATTGTTTAATATATTACTCTTTAGCTTGTGGTTGCATCGAGTGTGACTATCACAGTGCGCTATGAATACTTTTTTTTAGATATATTTATAGTCTTTACCTTTTTACAATTTAACTTTCTTGGTTATTATCATAAATTTATTCCGATTTTGCCTTTACGTGGAAAAGAATGGATAATGTTTTTTAAAAATAAGATCAAAGAAAATGGAACATAATATACAGTTTTATATGCTGTAAAAATGAAGACGAGGAGAAAAAATTCTATATGTATATTAAAGGACAAAATTGATATCTATAAGTCTTATGACACATTAATATAGTAAGAAATATTTTAGTAGAAAGAAATATATCAAACCAAGAAATGATGTGCAGGAAAGAAAAAGAATTTTTGTCTGGGCGGCGCAGATGTATACGTTTTTCTCCTAAATGAAAAATATAATCATACCTAATGTGCATATGAGAATATTGCTGGATGCATGACGTGATTTTATAACTTATTTTCCCTACTTGTGAACCATGTAATGCATTAAAGTGATTTCATCGATTATCAAATTAATGAAAACAATTCAACGGTGAACTGTGCACTATGGCAAATTTCCACTCAATTTCATTGAGAAAAGTCCTCAAATCCACTCCCTTGGTCTTCGATCCTCTTATGATATTTTCTTCTCTGTGAGGAAATAAGAAGAAATTCAACAGACATCCGTGTAGAAGACAGTGAAGATAACACTTGCCGATAGAGGGGGCTCCTATCTCTTCCCACTGTTCAGCATTCGAGGCCCTTACACCTGGAGGACTAACTTTAACCGAAAAACGGACGCAGGCTGACTAATATCAGGGGGAAAAAAATCTCGGAAGTCAGGCGACGTCGGGTCATGGTCCTCTTCGACCAAAAAAATTACAACATCATCTGCTGAGTGTTGAATCTGTTCTTTGCCAGAAAAAGAATGCAAATATTTCATATTGATTAAAATCGATAAATAAATTGAACTTTTTTGTTTATCTACTCCACTTTTTAATAGTCTTTAGTAAAGGTGGGCCGGGGGAGCAAGGGCTCATTTCGAGGAACCTGCTGCCGCATCAATGTGTCAACATGGGTTAACCCTGCCCCGTTTCAGAGGACGGAAATGACTGCTGATTTACGGAGAAAAAAGTATCACTTTTTATTCTCAGATCACAAGGGTATACAACTAATTTTTTTTGTGTGGGAGGTCGAGGGGGGGCATGCTTGGTGTCCTGTTTTATACAGTTATGACCAAGGATTTGAAAAAATATGTGTGTGTGTGTGTGTGTGTGTGTGTGTGTTTGAGGGGGGGGGGGCACTCTCCCCCCCTTCCCAATTTCCTACGCCTTTGTATCTTATGATTCTTTCAATCTGTGGATTTCGAAATAAACGAATAGGGCAATGATATTGAAATGAAGTGAATTTGCCCTCAGTGATGCAAACACTTCGTATGGCATATGTAAAACATTTACTTTGAGTAATTTCAAAAATTGTGATACACGATCGCGCACGCTTTGAATGTGGTCGGATGGAAGAGAACCTAGATATGTGAATGCATGGTAAATGTGTCTTTAATATGAGGAGTTAGTGAAATTACATTTTAAGAGAATTTTCCCGGCCACCTTTTATCTCTCTCCATATACATGTATGAACGAGTTATGATACATTCTGTTTGCGGAGCAAGGAATTGTGTTCAAGCGCAACAAACACAATTGCGTTCTGTTTCGGCTAGTAGACATTAAAGACATCATATTAAGGATTTTCACGCCAATATCTAATTTTCCACGGGAAAAAATCGCCTTCCCACGAATAATCTTCTCACCCTTCTCTGGGGTTTGATTGGACAGTTTGTGCCTTTTTTCAATGAAAAGAATTTAGTTATTAATGACTCCCGAGTCATTTAAACCACCACTTTTCTCTGAAATTTCGGATGAAAAAATCGACATCAGGTGCTTTTATTATAGGGGTCTTAACTTATCACTTTTAATGTCTGGCTTGGGAGAAATAAGTAGTTTTGTAGGATATTTAGACATAAAAATGTCACTTTTTCAAACGCGTTCAGTAAAGCTTTAAGAAATTTATTACAATGAAAGAAATGTATTTTCCACATGCAAAAGTATTGATAACAAATCGTACCACTCGATTACAGACCTGCTTTCATCATTGACGTGCAGAAAGTACCTCGTGGAAATATTCAAGAAAATGATATTTGCTGTTCGTGAGATGGGTTGGTTTATTTTGTCTACTCACTTGTAAAACCCGTGGCTGAATAATGACTAAACTTCTCAAATTTTGTCGTTATCTGCTATGTATAATTAACAACGTGAAATGCAATGAAAAGTCACCTACTATAATGCACTTAAAAATACAACAAAAAATTCTTAGCGTTCCCATGGCTATTTCATTAGAAAACGCTGGTTACGTGAAAATCCATCGCGGTCCCCTTTGTGGCCTATCTTGCTTCCTCGGTAATCTTCGGTCAGTTCCGTATGTAACCCACAGAATAAGAGAGTAAGAATAATACGAGTTACGAAATCGTCTGAGGGTACCTCTTTATGCGGGCAAAGGTTATGAAGAGTGGCACTAAATAGCCTGAGGTCTTTGCATTTTGCTTTTCCATATTATTATTATTATTATTATTATTATTATTATTATTATTATTATTATTATATTTTAACTGTTGTTATTGTTGCTGTTGGTGTTGTTATCATCGCTGAAGAGGGATTTTTATCACTGATGTATCTTTGAATTTTTCTACATGTTCAAAGACTCCACAAAGAGGAAGGAGATATACATGTAGATTAAGTATTGACTTCACAAATTTAAATCGTGTATACGCACGTTCTTGCTTCTCAGATGTTACAACAAAATGTATTAGAGTGTGCCTCGAGAAATACTAGATTAAGATGACTTTTTTATCGTCTTGTTTATATTTAATGTACGCAGTCGGTCAAATCCAATGTATAATCTATAACACTGTATCGCTTTGCCCTGACAATAATAAGAAATAAACTAACCAACTAACTAACTAACTAACTAAGAACATGAGGCATGGCATTGAATATAGTAATGAGAGGAAACCTCATCCAGGCTGCATTGAGAGACCGTAGTATCAACGACACTGCCCGTAACGATTTTCGGGGATGCAATCGATGAAATCGGGAATGATTTTCCAAATGAAAATGTTCCACTTGTAGGAACCTTAATTTCTTTTAGACGCAAATCTAAGAAAGAGAGAGAAAAAAAAAACAAGTTCTAGGTGAAGAATTTCCGACTGAAGCTAATTTGAAATCAACACGCCCAGTTTTAAAAACTCTTTACTTAACACCTGCTAGGTGATAATATGAACCCCCCTGGCTATTCGCTGTTTATACATTCGGCTTTAATTAAGCCACATTCACAATCAAGATTGATCCGCAGACTAACAGATCCACGGGTCAAATATGGCCGACCCACTTGAAAGCTTACCGCGTTATCCCCGCGGGAAATCTATTGAGTGTCTGTTAGTGGAATTTGCGACAAGCTTTCAAGTGGGTCAGCCATATTTGATCAGCGGATCTGTTTGTCCGCGGGTCAACTTGTCCTGAATGCGCCTTTAGTTAATAATCTCTTATTTCACTCTGGTTAGTAACAGTCGCACAATGTTGTTCTAATGGTTGATCGTATTTAGTCGTTTATGAATATATATATATTTTTAATTTTTTGTATGTATATAAGGCAGGAAGGGTTAAGGTACCGGTTGTCTGCACATTTCATGAAATCTAAGCCCCAACAAGGAAGACTTCGTTAATTTTTAGAAAAATCCACCTACTGCTTCTAGACGGTTGTTATATCTTGGTGGGGGTGACCGTGTTCCTCTCAGCCTATAAGGAACGTTCTGGAATAAAAAAAATACGTAGTTTTCGTTATGATGTAATCTTTTAAAGAGTGCGGGATTACCAGAGGAGGTAGAAAGGGTACACTTCCCTGAATTACTAATGCACAAAATATCTGGAGAAAATATGTAATTCATTATTCTTCCATATATATACGTATAGTACTTCCTTCTTTTTTGGAGCTATTGCTTAAAGTGTTTCTACAGAATGTACAACATTCCTTGAATATTGCAACCAAGAACAGGCATACCAGAACACGATTATGTTCAGGTTTTTCAACACTATTTATGCGGCGTAACGACTTTACTTGCAGACAGATATTTAAAAGGAAAGTCTTATAGTCATGAAAATTACAAATGTAATGTATGATCTATAGATTCCTTAATACAGATCCCGAAATTAAAATAAAGGCACATATCAAAGTGAATGTTTTATTTTCCCAATTATCTTAGTATAAAGGCACAGATTTTGTTTAGCTACAGTGCTTGGTTTTGTCTTTCAGTTCAATCATCGCAATGTCACCAATTTCTCACGCCTAAAATGCGAGTCCAACTCCAGGAAATCTAAGAAAACGCGTTTTTTCCCTTTCTTGCCCGCAACCGTATCTATACTTTTAGCTACAGCTGTAACATTCTAACACGTACAACGATTCTAATAAAAAATAGGCGTAGTTATTCCAGGTCAATTAAAAATATCAACATAAATGTCGACGAGAACTCACCGAATCACTTCTGTTGTTCAACAAAGAGCTTGCGCGCACGGACAGATCACGACAATCTCGCGTCCGGGGAGGAGGCAGCGGCGGCAGAGAAGGGTACGACCGTGGATTGGAGCTGTGTATCAACCCCGGTGGCGCAGGCAGAGAATGTACTGTGTGCGGCATATGTGGTGCTGTCTGCGCTAAAGAGGCGGTGTCGCTGTGGGACGTTCTTTCCGGGTAGGTCAACATGGAGTCAGCGCCTGAGGTGTAGGCAAGCATTGCTGTGGCATTAGATGTAGACGAACAGGCCACTCTCCCACAGAATCTGTGAAATTTCTGTAGTTAACCTGAGGAGCCTGAATGCAAAAAATATGACGTAAATTTTAGACATGTTAATTTAAGAAATATGAATGATTAACATAATTAGCACCTTACTCAAAAACTGCATGGTAGTAGCAAAATAAGAGATCCAAAGTGATACTACTATTCCGTATTTAACATTCAACCTTGTTCACTCTTTCTCTTGACCAATTTGTTTCTTTTGAAAAACACATCCCTACATGATTTTAATAGATAAGATATTTTTTATAATAAAATATGTTCCTCTGGCAAAAAATAAATTCAGATTAAACTTCGAAAATATCAGTAGTGAGTCCTGTGAACATTGACAGACAGTAATGAATAATTCGACATTAACTGCAATTAACAGAGTATATCAGTAGAGCACTTTTATGATAAAAACAGTTAATAAAATCACCTGTATCAATCCAAGAAGATTAAGAGACGCGGTCCAAGAAGTCTCTGGGTTGGTGTGGACTTGTGATGACGAATTCCAGAAATGACAACTGATCTTGGTAGCTAGTGGCCTCACTACTATATAACCATCAGAGAACTCCTAGAGTCTCCAAAGACACCTGCGATTATGATCACTCCTCATCAGGGCCACTATGGGATATAAAGCCATCTTTAACAGGAAAACGCTTATGAGACAACGTCATGCAGCTTTGTGGCCTCGTCGTTAACTGTTTGTTTGGGTCGGAAGCAGGATAAGAGAAAGCAAAGCGTTCTGATACCAGCATGTAATTAACGCCGCCGGTCTAAGCACACGCACCTACCCCTTCAATTTTTCACGAGATTTTATTTTTCGAGTGCGACTTAGTGTCAGCACTGTATTTATTATTCATATTTTTCAACGCTTGCTGTATGTTGTAGCAGCGAGAATATTAGGTACATGTGTGTGAGTGTGTGTGTGTGTGTGTGTGTGTGTGTGTGTGTGTGAGAGAGAGAGAGAGAGAGAGAGAGGAGGGGGGGGGGCGTCTCTTCCCACGAGCCTACAACTTAATAATGGCCACAGACCCATTCAATATGGACGAGAAACATTATAGACCAGCAGTGGCGTTATCTGACGTCTAAAACAAAGTGATCGCATCGCAATAGATTTTCTCCATAAGCTTGCTTTCACTTGCACATCTAACTTGCACCAAATGTGATAATAAGGGTTTATTGTACTCTTCTTGCAAAACATACATCAGATATTAATTGCATACATGTATAAAAAGATTGCATACATGGATCAAGAGATATGAAATATGTTAAAATTAAGCTATATTATGAAATATATAAATCTATTAAAAAAGGGAATCGTGAAATCGTAACATTGAAATGTCGCCTTGCCATTGCTTTGTAAGGAACGCAATAGGCAAATACAATGAAATAAGTAGTAATGATAACGAGAGCATTAAATTAAGATAATGAGAAAATTAAATCTACTACGAAGAAAAAGATCACGACGTTTCCACCTTGTCACAAGGTCTTCTTCAGGTGAACTGATATGAGTTGTCCCCGATGTCACGTGGTGCCATTCTGCGCAGTTCACCCGATGAAGACTTTGTGACAAGGTTAAAATGCTGTGATCTCCGTTGCCACGAAAGATCCAGAGCTTGATTTGATTTTTTCATTACTTTAGTATAATAAATCTGCGTGAATCAAAACATTGACATTCAGCATTTAATGTAACACTAACAGATAAGCTCTCTCTCTCTCTCTCTCTCTCTCTCTCTCTCTCTCTCTCTCTCTCTCTCTCTCTCTCTTATGAGACACCTCCGTTAAAGATAAAAATACTTTACTTCAAGTGATGGCTCGTCTGGTCTTATATACCCAGTGTCATGTTATTATTAAAATGCTGTCTTGACTTACACAGTGGATAACTATTCCATGAAACCACGTGATAAACAAACTCCAGTCCCTCCGATTGGTACAGGTAAACCCCGTTCTAAATTTTGACCCAATTACGTCTTGCCAACCCTAACCTTTTAGAATTTAATGGAGGGCGGGTTCTCTGTTACACGGATTCCAAGTTTCTTAACAAAGATGTGAGCGCGGACCTGGGAAATCACCGCCATCCCATATTGCTAGTATGTGAAAACTAGAATCTGAATGATATTCCCACGACCGACAATATACTGGTTGCTGTTGGTTACGTAAGTGCCCTCTGACGTCACTGACAGTTCACGTGGGGCAAATGGTCGTCATGCTGGTCGTGGGCGTGTCGTCATTAATGCGTTTAAACAAAGAAAAAAATGTGTTTAAATAGAAAAATAATAGGAAAACGGATCACACCCTCCCCCCCCCTCCCACAACCATCTGAAAAAGTAGACTATGATTGTCATATCCATTATTTGATGTCTTTATCATTTTGCTGAATAATGATACTAGTAGGCTAAACAGTAGGCCTAATATATACTCGGGTAGGTTAGGGCATAAAAGTGGGAAAGTTTTAGCTGTCACCGTCAAAATCTAGGTAACGCGTTTGTAGAGAAGAAACAAAAAAATAACATATATGTATTGAACGGCCGACAGAAGTTAGACACCCCCTACCCACCGTTATAGCGCTACAGCATCCGTTTTATCGCCATTTTACATGTTCCCAATGTTTCAGCCCTTGAGAAGTGAGGCACATTTGCGAGCGCTCGTGCTCAACGCATCGTCTTTATTGGCCAAAAAGCGTAATACTACGCTAAATTGCACGCAGGGAAGCAGCGAATGGAAACCACATACGGGGTAATTTACTTGAAAGGTTTAGATGTCGCGTGCCGAACAAATACAAAGAGGGAGGAAAATAATGAACATTATAATTCTTAGATTTCTGAGCTACTTTCTTTTTTTATAAGTGCTCAAAAGTCCTTTGTTGAATAAAAAAAAATTTGCATTAGCATTACTCAATATTTATTATATTATGTATTAGCAGGATTCTGCAGAGGCAAATATAATCACTCTGGTGTTAATTTATTGAAATGCATTTCCCGTGATTACTGTGGGAAAACCTTTTTTTGTTGCAATGTTGTTTATGAGAACTGGAAACAAAACGAAAACAAACGTGTATCTGCATTTTGTCATATTTTAGATGATACGTTCATAGGTCTTCATTCCTGAGTTGATTTTATTCAGCAATAACAGCGTGAATTACGTAAACAAAAGGGAATACATGAAATGTAATTTTTTTGCCGAGTCAAAGCTTTTAGAAGTGTTTTTAGTTAGCATTAAGCACCCCCCCCCCCTTTCCCGTACTTCCCCACAACACGTCAATGATAATAATAACTATTCTAATGCTGGTACTGACTGATAAAATTATAAGACAGAAACTTATAGTAGTAGTTGAAAAGTGTAGCACATCGTAAGGAATATCACTCCCCTCCCCCCAAAAAAAAAATAATAATAATAATAATTATGATCTAAAATTAAGAAAAGGTGCTGACCACAAGAATATTTTTAGAGATAGGATATTTAGATAATTTTTCCATTCTATTCTACATTTGTTATTGGACACAAAACATGCAAGTAAAATTTCAAAATACGCCATTAAATTCCCTACGTAATTACGTAATTTATACGTTAGCAGATGGTCCGATATACATACAACGACAAATGACGACACAAAATGACGACAAATAAGACAAGAAGGTGCAATCCAGATTTTTTCATCGCTAAGATTTTTGTAAAAAAATAGACTGTTTACTACATGTCGATCATCAGATGATTTATTGAGTAGCTTGATTGTACCTCCATCTCAAAGGATTGCCAGTTATTTGTTGAAGCATTGAAGTTTCAATACGTACATCAGGGAACTGCTGATTTATTCAAGAACTCGACACGAGTTCGTGAATGAACCCCCACACAAAGAGACTCTGTATTGTCCATACAAAGACGCACAAATTGCTCGCGAGATCTGCGGGCATTGCTAATAATCTTCTTCTCCATTGAATTCGAGGCTGTCACTGTTGCCAATGTTTTTCGTGCATAAGGGCCCTTGGGTAGGTGCTCTTCAAGATTTGAAACAAAACTCGAATGCGGGAGTAATGAAGGATTCGCCCTATTCGCCCGCTTTGTGTTTATATAACAGGTGGTTTTCGTGATAAAACAAAATGTAACGGACCAGATTATGTTTTGTTCTTTCGTGAACAAATCAAATAAGCTTTTTTAAATGTTAATATTTTGCAATGTTGTGCAGTTCTAAGAGAGATAGATTACATCATTTAAAGTTAACACATTTCCTTCTGAACTTGTAAAAACCACGACACGCAAACAAGATAATTAACGTTGCAAGAAGCGTCAGTCACAACAACGTAACCCAAAATAAAGTGCGAGTTTGGAAGACACCCCAAACAGGCACATTTTTTGGACTCTGAAACTGGGTCCTGGTAAGTTTTTATATCTTACTAATTTGTTCACACACCTCCGTACCCCTTCAAAATTTAATTCTACAACATTGTACATGGGTAAGAATTCCGGTCTATTAATTTTTTTCCGGTGAAACATAATTACATCGTTTCTAGTGTAGTGATGGTAAAAAGCAAATCATAGGTAACGGGAAAACCACGAAGAGAACACAGTCCTCCCTCAATGGATATCAGTCTTCATTATCATTAATTGTTTATAAATTAAGTAATTAATAAGTGACATCTTCATTAATATTCATCATAGGTTAATTGAATAATTAACTAACGAATGAATCAATTTACTCATCACCAGCAAAAATCCAGCCAATTTCTGACATATCCTGAAATTTTCATTTAAATCCCTGAGTGACATTTTGCATAATGTTGTTTACAGACAAGCGGATTTAATTAATTAATTAATCAATGGATCATCACCAAAATCTTATAATTTTTTTTTTGTTTAACTCGGTCCACTCCCCACAGTTACTGAAAATGTCATCAAAATCCGTCCACAACAGTTTCCATAATGCTGCTAAAAGGAAAACAGATAAAAAGAACCAAGCACATAACCCCCTCGGCGGAGGAAGGTAAAAAGAGAGAGAGAGAAAAAAAACTGTTTACCATTTTCTAATTGTTTGTGAGATCTTTGTCAGTTTGGGTAATAATTACCTATAGTTAGCAGTTGCACTTTTTGACAGGTAAAATATAATTTCCTGCCCATTTTTCTTTGAGAGATTTTAACCGTGTTCTCTCTTTTCGTTCACGACTCTTGGTTTATCAAGGGGCTATCAGGTTTTTCCTCTCGCGTCAAAAAATTATATCCCCAGCCTCTTGGTATTTGTTTTTTTAAATCATATTTCTTGATACCTTATATAAGGAGCTGAAGTATAACCTCAGAAAGGTCAGCTGTGGAAGACTTATGCTTGTTGTGCTCGCTTCGTTCGTGTGTACTTTTATGGGGTTCGAGGATTGACAGAGGTTTTGACATTATCCCAGGAACCCCCCTTTCAGGTGACAGTCAGGGGTACATGTCAACATTTCCGTAGTAGACGTGTGAAAATTCAAAGAATTAAATCAATCTCATTGGTGCAAATCACGCACAAGGGTGTCGTTGTCATACAAGACCTCTAGCCCCAGACCAACATGAACAACATCATATGGACCAAAAAGTTTTCCCAACTTTACCCACGTACTTTGATTTTACCCACGTACTTAAATTTTCGAGGGCGTGTCAGACAATTAAGCTGATTACACTGACTGCGCCTTAGAGAAAATCCCCGCTGGGATAGATCGATCCTGCTAGTACGATTATTCTATTCTGAACACAGCCTTAGAAAAAGACAGGCCTTAACTGGTGACACTACTCTGTGAAAAAAGACAAATATCCCAATACACACAATCTAACACAGTAAAGCAATCAAGCTACAGCTCAAAACCAACTATACTCGAGTTGGTGGTAAATAATTTAGTCACAGTTGCCGCTAATAACAACGGCCATGTTAATTCTGCGACTTCACCGACGCTACCAGCACCAAACGCGTCGTGATAAAGATACCTCGTTAAATATATATAGCGTTGCCATTATGAACGCCGCTCCGTCTTTACGGCCATTATACTCATTGAAATGTTCCGTGTAAATTCTGTGAAAAATTGTGAGAAATATTGGACGGAGAAGCGCCGTTTATTATTCCAAAAATTTGTGCTCTGCAATGTGGTTCCTGGCTTTAACCCGTCTCCCGTAGTTTGGCGTAACTGCGCCAACCTGAGATCGTACTCAAAGTGATATTCTAATGACTATTTTTCCTGGAATTCACTTAGCTGTTAATAATGTCGATTAGAATTTTCATAGTCCCGTCGTGAGAAACTTAACATAGACTTGCGAGAGGCGGGGTAAGGGTGGAGGTCTTTGTACCGTAGTTAAAAGTCTAAGCAATATTCAAAACCACCAATTGCATGATACACTATACAGAAATAAGCATAGCAAAAAGCGCTGGATGTCGGACGGGAAGGTTCTTGCACCAAAAAGCTCAACTCAGCGATTTGAAATATGGAAATAATAAAAAATAATAAATCTGAAACCCACCCTGCGGATTTAGAGTTCGAAGCAGTGACCCTCTGGCGGAACTAATACAAAAATAAATATTCACCGAGCTTGGTGTTCAAAAGTGAAACAAAGGCAAATTTCAAAGTAGCACGCACATTTTCATCGTGAAAAACTTTTAATTGACATTACAAGTATTGGCTTCTGGTATCATAGCTCCATACTAACAAAGAATCCATAAATACCATGTAAAGGGCGTTACTTTCCTTACACAATGTCGGTTATTTGACTATCAATACAAAGATGTATTTGTAGGTAAATTTGTTTCAGTGATATATCATTTTAACAGTTCATAGAGTCCGATCATCTTTTGACCGTGTGCGTGAAGTACTGTTGTTGCACCCTCAGAATCCGAGGTATTTCTGTGGCGGCAAACGTTCACTGATATCAAGGGGCTCGTTTGTAACACACGTGTATTCAGGGTACTTCTATGGTCAGTAAGGTCCTTTCACACAGTAATTCCTTTTCTTCAGAAAACCACCAGAGTTGTCTTCAAAATACCCTTCGAGTTCATTTCATAGGATCGTGATGTTCGCCTGTCTTGAGATACATTCAAATGCTCATTTACAATAGTATTGGTCCATGCTTTTGTCTTTATAGATACTATCTCCTGAAAACAATCTATGAACTGCTAGGCTGCCTTCATTTATTACGGGAATCCGTCAAAATCTTCGTCGGCAATTTCTTTGGCGCTTTCCAGTTCCTGTTGTTCTCTCTCACGGCGTTCCTTTAATGATAAAATAAAAACCATTTTAATGCTTTAATTTAACAACTTAAGTTGTAAATTAAGTTTTTATAATGGTTTTAAGTAAAATTAAAAATAAATTTATCGTATATAAGATACATCTTATCAATATGAATGTGCAATGTGTGTGGGATGGGAGTTTATTCTACTGGTCAAATTCCACTAATAGGTTTAGGAGAACAAGTCATATTGGATGTCAAAAATAAATTGTATTATGAACTGATATATTCTATTCACACTATAATAGTATTAATATTTAAGTCTAATTATAGTTTTGAACACCACTAACAGCCGCATCCTTTAAAAATAGTCTCTCTCTCCCTCTCTCTCTCACACACACAGACACACACACACAGAAAGACACAAACATGCATAATAAATAATATTTAATTTATACATTCTATTTGAAATTCCACTGAATAAAGACATTCACAGTTTTTTATCAATGCATTTTACTAAATGGTGGTTCTATTCCCCTACTACTGTAAACCTTAAAACCACTCAAGTATCAGGTATTTTATTGAACTTGAAGTTAAATTCCCAACGCAACTGCACAAATCCCTTAAAACCCAGTTATACTTCATAACCATGTTCCCTATTACAGGTGCAAAACTTAAACAGCCTCCAACCCTGCCAGTGGTGAATATGACAGCCTTGCTCTACCAGACGGCCGCCACTGGTACTGGGTACAACTTCCTGTCCCCAAGACATCTTCCTAGCATGATCATTTAGGATACAAACACCAGTGATTAAATTCCGCATATTAAATCAACTCAGTGACGGGATCGGGGCAAGCGGGCAATGGAGCGTATAATGGTTTTGATGTTTTTACACCCCCTTTTGATACTACAGGCACATTTGGAGAAACTACCCTTAAGTTTTAATGTTCACCCAGTATATGGTCTATGTAGGGGTTGACAGTGACTGATGAGACGGAATATCAAATATAGCCAGCGGATAAGATTTTAAAATGCTTAATCAAACGATTTTATTTTACACGTATGCAGGGATGAGACTGTCATTTAGTGAAAAAGTTGGAAAATATAGCAAGGAACGCAGGGGGCCGCCAAGGCTGATGAGATTTTTGGCTCCCCAAAAGTTGGATCTGTCATTAATCAGAAAAATCTCATCTGTGTATATGAGAAAAAGTTATCCCTTTTTCCAGTCATCATCATCAAAAATATATATATATCTGACATATGCAGGTCTGCTTGTAGTTTAAATGGGTAAATGTAGTGATCTGCAGAAACTAGAGTTCGGGGAAAAATACTAATGCATAGTGCATCTGCCAAAAGAAAAGAAAAAAATATTTCATCTCCAGGTCTTCCTTCTCTAAAAAAATGACTTACTCATGTTCAGTTCAACATCGACATGTTCCCAAGGCATCATAACCGTTTAACCCTTCCAACTTAGAACAAAACACTGGCATGACAGTGAACCTTATCTCCAAGTTGTGATACAGCCCCTGGTGCTTACATGGCCAACTCGCCCTCAGGTCTGTTCAGAGAAGGTGTACATGGAGAGGTCGCCCCCCAAGTCAGGGAAGACAGTGCAGCCACATTCTCACATAATTAATAAGGGTGAATATAGCTTCAAGGTGGACCACGGAACTGACCTGAGGGTCACGCTTTGTGTCTTTTATCTCCCAAAAAAATCATTTTCTATGGTAAGAAAGTGATGCCGTTAAATATGAAAATATATCATCACACTTATATCACCCATTTCTTTAATTCTTATCTCCAGAATTTCTACAGACGAAGAGTTAAGGCCAAGACTGGGTTTTTAGTTACATATCTTCAAAATAAGCAGGATCATCCAGCTTTATAATGGGGATCATCCAAGAGGCTGTTTGCACTGTGTGATATCATACAAAACTAGAAAATATGCCAAGGTGAAACTTGCGTGTTCAGTGAAAGTAATTACAAAAGGCACAGGTAAAACAAGCTATCTATCTGTATATAACAATATACTACCATGAAACAAACAACATACCAAGCAGAAAAAAAAATTTTTTTTTTTCAACCAGAGTGCCAAAATGCCAAAAATTTAAATTCCAAAATAAAAGTTGTCAAATACAAAAACAAAGAATGATATGGAACTGACCCCCCTCCATAAAAATAAATAAATAAATAAATAAATAAATAAATAAATAAATAAATCAAGACTTTAAACATGATTGGTGTATATATGCTCTTATCATAGTTCTATATTAGTTTTTATTTGTTATTTTTTCAACTTTATTCTCAAATATAATTTTCTTAACTGCAGTTGTGCCATGGCCACTTATGTCAGTGACATGGACACAATAAAAGTTAATTACAGAGGAGTAGGTGCCTGGCCAGACAGGCAGGTAGTTAAGGAGGGTTATGCATAGTATTAGCAGAAGACACTCTGTCTGTCCATTTTTTTAACACTTTACAAATCTCCCATCCCCACACAACACCTGCACTACAGGTTGAACTTTCGATTATAAAATTTTAGCATTTTTCTTCCCCTCTGTTTCTCCCTGCCTCGGGCAGGTGACAGTTCACACCAGCTCAGCGTTTAACCTTTCGCCCCCTCTCCTCTGATAAAAACCTTCCCCATTTCCTTCTGGGTTAAAGCATGGTGCAGTGGAGTGACACGACTCTCTGTGGCTGGGGGGCACAGCTGCAGCACTAGGGGGGAAGGCTGGATGCCACATAGGCATTTAGCTAGTGAGGCTCTTCTGGGGACTGGTTCACAAGAAATTCTTAGAATCTTAAGCTAAGACTGCTCAGATCAGTTAGCTGACTATCTAAGCCAACTTTACAATATTAGCCATAGGGCTCTTGATTGGTTTAAGGGTAAACAAAAGAAGAAAAAACTCATGATTTTCTTAGGGTAAATGGTATTTTCCCCCCATTTTAACCCAACCCTTGATCCACCATTCTGGGTACTTTTAAGAGTCCTTAAGTTAACATGTGTTTTAGTGATTATTTTTTTCAAATTCTGTCATCCCTTTGAGCTGACATTCAATGTATTTGACACACCTAAACGAGCTGCTGTCCCACTGAGGGTAAAAAAACCTTCAACATTATTGGTATTTGCTGTGATATGCTTAAGTGATTTTGTAAAAAAAAAAAAAAAAAAAAAAAAAAAGAAAAAAAAAATTAAAAAAAGTCCTTTCAAATACTTTGAGAAATGCACTTTAGTCAGCGTTATAGCAGAAGGCTATAAGTCTAAAAACCAAAAACAGTTTCGACTTTTTTGTGATTTTGTCTCCAGAAAAAAAAAAAAAAAGAACTGGACCAAGGGTAATTTTAACAGGAATTGTATACAGTGTCATCATGGTAAAATCCATTCTGTTTGTGTTTCTGTGCAAAGCAAGTCTCTGTGGAGAAAAATATATTGCTAACAGTAGTCTCTAGCATACTGTCATGATAGGAAACTGTAAATTTAAAATTCCACCTGGCGATTCCTTATTGATATAAGTAACTTTCAAATGCATGACAAAAGACCATGCCAAGAAAAATATCTTACTATGTCTCTGACTGCTGAAAACAGCTCATGATAATAATGCAAGTCATCAGCTCTTATTTTCAATTTTTTTCATGGACTTCTCTCCTGAAGAATTATGAATATTTCTCCCTATTCAGGCCTCTTCCCTGCCCCAAAGCTTTGTGAGTTTAGTCACCCATAAAAATGCTACAACACAGCATAGAGGGGTTGCCTTCAGCAATGCTTTCATGTTTTCCCTGGCTTTTTACAGTGCTAACATAAAGACTGTTCACAAGAGGACCTCTTAAGACTGGAATCCATACTAAGAACCACATCTTTGCATCCAATTTCCAGTCCAGTATGGTCTAAGTGTGAACAAACAGTTATGTTCACAGTACACAACATTTCTGAAATTTTCATTGGTTTGTTCTGTATAAAAACTGACATGGTGATTTTTTTAAAAGTCAATTAATTTCAACATAAAAATGGCTGATTTATGACAGAAAAAAAAAGGGGGGGGGAACTTGACTATGTAATGAGAGAGAGAGAGAGAGAGAGAGAGAGAGAGAGAGAGAGGGTAAGAATAAAGATCTTTGTTTTAAGGAGTCTTTCTGGTGGTGTGTAATACCCCGTTCACACTACAATCTGAAATATCCGAATTTTTGCAATGCGAATTACGGGTGAAAAATCCGATTCGGTTGTCTGGCCACACACAGCAAAGGGAAACCGAATCGTGCACTGAAAATTCAGGTGGAGGTTCCGGTTTGAAGAATCGCGCATGCGCAGAATCCATGAAAACAAAAATATCTCGCCAATCATTGCTCTTCTCGCACTCAGTTTTTTTCTCGTGTGTTTGTTTTTGGAACATCAAATTTAACCCAAAGTCGTCAAAAGGAAGATTTAAGTAAGATCTGGAAGAATTTGACGGATACAAGAAGGAGAATAGCTGGGTTTCGATGGAGAGTGTGGGTCCACTGACCTGGCATGTTGCTTTTCTTTCCCGCGAGATTTGCTAGTGCATGCGCAGTGCAATCTAAACAGGTGGCCCTTCCGGTAAAGTAACCGAATCGCTGGAGAGAATCCAGCTCGCTAGTAGGATTTTTGGAAACCGGTTTACAAAAATCCTCATGCGTTCAGACTACCGCAATAATTCGAATCTTGACCTAATTCGCTATTTAACCGGTTAAATGACTGCAGTGTGAACGGGGTATAAGATAAGACTTGGAGCGGAACCTGCACCGCGTACACAGTGTCCCTGACTGAGCACATGAGACCAAGGTGACAATTCTAGTTGACTGAATAACACAAAATAAGGATGAATGTGGCCAAATACTTCAAAGTTCAAGACTGTAGGCATTTGCTGCAAAGATGCCACACCATTTCCCCTGCTTGTTTTAACTTACTTTTCTTTTTCTCAAAGAAATCTACAATACACCTTCTAAAACTGGACAGAGACAGGAATTAATAATGCAAACTTCAAAATGTCTCTTTTAAATAATCCAAATCACGAACCCGTATAGTATCAGGTCGCGTATTGTGACAATTTGCAAAAAAGATAATGGACGACTTGGGGTATTCTACCTCCTATTGAAAAAGGCTTGTCCTTTATTCTCTGTTATAGAACAGAAACAGCAATCTCAGTAACCAGCAGATTGAGTTTGCACAGGTGATGACATAATCAATTATTCAATGGGTTTCAATAAAGATTAAGTTACTACCATTATATGAACAAGCGAGGATAAAAGAAAAAGCATCTCTGGGTTTTATGTACACACAGCCCATATGTATGACAGATCTCATAGTGGAGGTGCTCTATATACACACACAGCGACAGGGTGAACTTGACACACAGCACTACACTGAAGGTTATAATGATTAAGATCATTAAGACAGAGCCAAGTTTGGGGGAAAGCAGTGTGTGCACGTATGTGTGAAGGAGGGGAGAGGGTTTTGCCGGGATGAAAGACCCAACTTGTGTAAATTTATTCTCCTCATATAAAAAAGTAGATTCAATTCTGCTAACAAAAAGAGCAAAATGGGGGTTTCAATAAAAAAAAATCAATCACTTTTAAACGCCATATAGCACTTACCAATACCGAAAACGGCTGCAGTATATAAATAGGGAAATTAGAAGTTTTATGTGTAGATTTCAAACCTGACCCCTGGTTCAGATCTTTAATCTTCTATTTTCAAGGTGAGCCTTGAAAAAAGAGTAAGAAATCTTGTTTCTGCTGATTTTTACTATTTTTACATTTATTATCAAGCACTGGGAAGGGTGTGGTTAACTGGTGCATTTCACAAGTGTGAAAGCCATTACATTCCAACACCATAAACCCCATAACTTTGTTACTGTGCATCCTTTGAAGAAACCTAAAGGCAAGTAATATCTTAAAACTGACCATATCATTTGAAGTGTAGTAATCATTATAAGACAGATTATGCCTCTGTGGTAGCAAAACATTTAGGCATTAAAAAATCAATTAAAAAAAAAATCATGTTGTGAGCTATTTGAAATGCTGGGAGATGCCATATTGTCCATGACCTTGACCTTAGCCATATTTAGATAGCACAGCTACCTGGTTTCCAAGAATGGCCTCCACTTGACAATTATCACTTTAAAATCAGTCGAGGTAAAAACATTGTAAGTAGAACAAAATGCTTTGTGCAGTGCATGGATAGAGCTGTTCCCTCTATGTAATCACTTCTCTTCCCTAACTCTGTTCCCATCATCAAACAGCACAGAATCTACACGTAAGACAAACCACCAGTATACACAACGCTGACTCAGCCCAACTAATCAGAGGCCCTTCATTATGTATAAGTCACCTGACTGTCACAGCCATACATCGTCACCCTCACCTCTACCTTACACAGGGCCCTGAACATGGATGGGGACAGATCACCGGATCCAGCGCTCCATGTGGCAACAGTTGTGTGTGAATATTTGATGGGGTGTACAGTGCACAGGTTTTCCCACTGTCACGACAAGGCGGGTTGAATCATGTATGATGTAGATCGTTGCCAAATTCACATGGAGGCGAAGGTGAGTAAGAGCTGAATAATTCACTTCTGGGTGCTTAACAACCTCAGAGCAAGTTCTAATACACTATAGGGGTGGACATTGCTTTGGGTGGTCCAAAGAAGGAAAAAAAATCTCAAATCAGTGATATAAAATTTCATATCTTATTTTTTTCCCATTGTGAAAGCTGCAAAACTGCACCTCCATCCAATAACTTTTTTTGGGGTACAAAAAAGTTTCTTAATCAACTAATCACATCTTTGAATGTGACTTGAAGTCTCAAGCCTTCACCAAAGGACATTGATCACATGACAGTCTACGCCATGTCGAACTTTGATTTTGATTTTTTTCTTCCTTTTCCTCTGATTTTTGCTGACTCATTGTAACATAAAATCAGTTGCTGAAGACAGAAGCTAAAACCATACATGGCTCAACAGGGGTAACATTAAATCAGAAATAAAAAATTGAAATTGCTGCCTTCCAGTATGGATCCATACCAAGACAGAAAAAGGCCTATTCCTAGTCTCCTTGATTTTATTTCATTTCTCCACTTCACTGTCCTTGCATGTGAAATATACAAAACATCCTTATCTCATACAACAATGATCATGCAGATCTTTCTGCACCATTTAGTGAACCTTATATCTATAGTGGAATTCATCAACATTTGAACCAAGAATAAACCAGTGCCTTAACCAGTGCAAGTCAGTCAATAAAATAAATATATCTACTACATGGTAATCTCTCTCTCTCTCTCTCACCCACCTCAAACTTGCATCATATAAAAATTGTGAGAAAAATAGATTTCCATCTTACCTCTGCAGATTCAAGGTCCTTGTTATAAGACTTTGGTGGAAAGCGCATGGCCTTGAAATAAGAAATACAACAGAAAGCAATGGTGAGAAAATCTGTCTCAACTAACACAATGACAAAGTCGGACATCAATTCTATGCCCAGCACATTGTACATGTCAAAACCAGGAAAACACCTGGTAATCAGCTGGGAAAAAAGCAATCTATCCTATATCATTACAATGCTTAAAGACAAATTTTAAGAAATCATTCCTGAGTTAGGAATTTGGATAACAAATGATGGAAATATATAACACAATCTTTTGATATATAATACAATGTTCAGTTATTTTTACTTGTTCTTTGATTGCAATGACATTTAATCCCCAAGTCTGGCTAAATAAGCTATCATTTAACAAAATTATTGTTAACTGGAAATCTAACTTCATGTTAGGTGTTTGAAAAAATTCTTTTAATTTATTTTCAAGACAGACTTTCTCAACTCAAGATGTTTTTTTACCTTGACAGAATTATTGTGTATGTCTAAACAGAAGGCAATCCTCTGATGAAAGGCCATCATGGGCTCGCTCGTACTGTAAATGTCAATGTTCTCTTTAGACTGGACGTAGCCTTTATCGTGGTCTATCGTAGCTTCAATTACACCATCACGAATAGCCTGGAGAAGAAGCAAACCAATAACAACCAAACTGAACTTGAAGACAATTTGTAAAACAAAGTTATCCGTGAACAATGTGCAAAAAAACCCGAAAATTTTAAATCTATTTCTCATGGTCAGTTTACAGCTTCATGTATAGTATTAGATGATAAAACAGTACATTCTGGTCAGCAGAAACAGAAAGATAAAGCAGCTCTGGCATATATTTTATGAAACAGCTCCTGGCATACATTCCATACACCCGTGCATACTGGAGACAAATGTCACATGAGAACATATACCAACTCTGAATAAGGGTGCTTTCCCAGAGATTTAGATCGACCTAACTCACTGGGGGTTCAGGCTAAATTGCAGTCAGCCGAGCGGACACCATAGTTAATGACCCCTTACAGCTTTTAGTAGGCGGGACAGACGCTTAAGCCGGCCAAGCTGACAGTAATCTAGTGAGACTCCCCACAGGGATAGATCGATCTTAAAATCTATGGAAATGGGGTGTAAGATACATTGTCAAATCTGCAGTCAAATTTAAAATAGCCTAATCATAGAAGGCAAATATCAGGCAAATTTAAAACCTGAATCCTTCAAACGTATGTGAGGTTTGAAGCCCCATCTTGCTCAAAGTTCCTGACCAAATTCAGTCTCTACAACAAACAAACAAAATCAATCAATCACCTTTGCCACAATGTACTCCGCATCCTCAGGGCTGTCCATCTGAAGTTTCTGTGCGATGTCCGTCAGGGAAATGCGAGAGTACGACACATTAATGCTCCTGACTCCAGTTTTGATGACATTGTGTCGCAGGCGGATGATCAAGGTGTACGTTCCCTCGGCCTGGAATTTGGCCCCATACTCCTGCAGGACCTGGTTGAACTTAGCAAGGTTCCCTGTCCTCACAGCTGTAACAGAAAGGGTGATTGGTTTAGTCACGGGAACAAAACAAAACACTGCTTGAACTTACAATGAATTTTCCAAATTTTTTAAAAGAGAAATTGCTGGCTTAAAAGGCAGGGAGCAAACTATACAGAATAAAATTTACTATATTATTTTATCAGCAGATCACATTAATTTTCATTTTATATCTGTAAAGATATGACAATAAATTATTATCTTATCTTATATTCACACTGTTTTCTTTTACACATCGGTTGTTTCGATGACAACTGATTATTTACCACTGAACAGAGTTTTGGATATTTAATAACTGAAAATCCATTTCTAAAACATCAAAGTACTGCCTGACAAGTTGACTCTTTACCTTGAGTGAGTTGAAAGTACGGTGCCAGTGACTTCTTGAGTTCTTTGTGCCTAAATGTAGATCTATCAGGAATGTCTCCTAGCAGCAGTTCCACAGTCACTAGGAATTTATGAACCTGGGGGAAGAAAACTGTAAGAGTGAACATAACACACAGATTTGATTTTTAGATAGAAGCCTCAGAAGGTCTGAAAATATAAAATGTAAAACTCACACAGTGGTACCCTAAGAGTAAAAATTTCCTTAGTAAAATCAAGAAGAACATTATTATAAAAGGATCGTACTAATTGTTAAAACACTCTATTTTCATTCCTGAAACAGGCAGTTTATTGGTTCTTCACAAACCAGGCATGTGTTGCGAACCTGGTCCATGTGCCCTGAACCTAATTCACCTCCTCTCAGACAATGTGCCCAGTAGTGGTGAAATACTCACGGTTTGTTTGAACCCTACAGCTGCATGCTGGGGAGCCTTCCTGATAGCCTGGAGGAGGTTCTTGTGGGCCTCGGAGTATTCCAACTGCAGCGCCTTGATACGACCTGAAAACAACACAACTGTCTCTTAGATATTTAGCACTGGTTTTATAACACAGGCTGATTTTCCTGAAGCTACTATACAGTACAATAAAATAAAATACAATATGTACAATACACTACAACAAAATGCGTACAACACAATATAATGCAATGCAAAACAAGTTGGATAAAATAAAAAATCTAATATTAGCTTTGCCACTATTTACTGATAGCTACACTCAAAGCAGACTTGTTTAGTGAGATATTGACTTCAAATAAGTTTTAAGGCACAGTTCAGACTAAAGCTAGTTATTAAATTGCCCTGCAATATAAACATCAATGAGCCCCTTTTCTTTTTTCAATTTATCAGAATTATCTTTCATTTTAATCAAATTCTCATTGATTTGGTATATTAAATGCGTACTTTGTCTAAAAATAACACAATGTGGTAAGGGACACACCAAATCCAGCTTTTCATTCAATAGACTCTTACCTAAGTAATACAGATATCTAGCCCACTCGTTATTAGAAGCACTCTCTGGAAAGGTGGATTTGGAGACCAGTTTATCTGCCTGGTCGTACAAATTACAGTGGAGATAGTTCCTCAACAACAGGTTCTGCAGAGTGGCCTGACCCTCATGGTCTCCTCGCAGGGTGGCCGTTCTCAAGCGCTGATGGAGAAAACTGGAAATCAAACGAACTAGATATAAATACATTTTGTAAAAAAAAATAATAATAAAATAAGTTGATTTTAAGGTCTATTCACACTTGATATAATTGGGCATGAAAATGAACCTAAAGTGGATCATTGGGCATGTAGAAATGCAGGCTTGCTGAGAGCTCTTCTTGCTCTTCAAGGTGTTGCATCTAACGCAGCACACTACTTTTTTAAATAGTAAAACAAGTATAAAAAATGTTTGTAGATGGAGAAGCCAAAAGCTCTTCCATAAATAGATCACCATTGAAAACAAACAATATTATGACAGTACGAGTTCACAGTTCGGACTTATTCACATTCCTGGCTCATATCTCTACTCTAAGAACAGAATGTGCCCCAGTGGGTTCAGTTACGTGTTCACTGACAGTGAAAAGACCCCTCCTCCATGTCACTCACAAAAGCAGCCCCATCCCCTCACCTTCTAATCCTCTCTAGCTGATTGGTGAGTTCATATGCTCTGGAGTAATAGAAATATGACTTGGCACCCAGCAGATCCAGTGTCCTTCTGTTCTGGTTCAGGAGTTTCTTCATCAACAAGTCGGAACATTTGACAGCCTGGACATAATAAGTAAATAAATAATAATAATAAAAAAATAAAGTCTGTATTTGCAGATAAGATTGTAGATATGAAAACAAAATCGGTAAAACTAGTTTATTACATATTTATTTTTGTTCCTTGCAGTGTTAGACCCAATTTCCTCTTTAACAGTGATCAATATATCTCAACATTTACCAAAACTGGCAAAAAATCAACAAAATATTAATCAGCATCACTTTTAATGAGCCAGGTCAGAAATTCTTAACTAGCAATATGGGATTTTTATCATTTAATGAGGGAAGAAACAGGCAAAGTCTTATATACATCAGGTATAACATACTTTATCATATTTCTTGGTATCTATCAGATGTATGGTGACCAGGAGGTGTAGGTAGATGTCCACTTCAGGGAGGAGTTGTACCAGTGGACTCCTGGCTGACCTCAGTCTGAAGGGACTGGCAGTGCCACTGTCTGTGTCCATGGCCTGAAAGATAAAAAAAGTTATTGGATTTTAAATAAAAAAGAGTGGCCTGAAAGATAAAACAAATTATTCAGTCAAGGAGGAAAATTTTGAGGTACTGATAGTCAGAAAGACCTGCACTGCAAGAAATCTGCTGGTCCTGCATTAAGTCAAAAAGCTATGGTCATATTTTGGTATTAGTTTTAGATCAGGCCAAAAATGAGGTGACTTAAAATGGATTAGGTTTGGGTGGTGATCCATTTGTTAATTATTAAATAATGAGAATTGATCTGCCTTGGTGGAGATCTGTGCTCTCTCAGTGCTTTTCTAGTGTTTCATTGTTTCAACCAAAAGAAAAAAAACATTACCTTGGCCAAGGAAAAATAGGATCAAGAAAAACTAGATATTACAATATTTATAAGACCAAATATGTGACTATAATATAATGATTATAAATGTAGTGACATACCTCATCCAGAAAAGACAGCAGATCAGCCTTGGCCTCAGAGGCAGCAGGGTAGCAGCCTGTGATGGCCTTCCTAAGCACATTATGATTTAGTTTTCTTCTTGTTGTCACCAGGGCCCGCACCACACGCATGACATAGCGAGGCTCCTTGGTTGACACCGCCTTGTCAATGTGCCTGATATGCTCTCTGATATCTGCAGGGAACAAAAACATCAACTTTCATTAAGGGGCAAATGATGCAGATTTGACACTGCCTTATAAACCAACTACAGGGTCAAAACACGGTAACGGTGCCATGGGTGTCAAATTTTTTTTGTTTCATTGAAATTTAAAATTTTTACATTTTTGTAGAAAACAAATCAAATTTTCAGATAATGTAAGTTTCATTGATATACTCCCAGTACTTTTTCTGTGAGCCACTAGGAAACAAAAATGAAAAAAAAAATTGTCTCTGACGGGACACATAGTCATATTGGCCTGAGTCAGATATTAGGTTGTTTTTTCAAGTTTTTATCAACCAAATATGTTAAACTAATCAGAAGTAATAGTTTAACATAGAAAACTGCCACATATCACTTATTTTGAGTAAAAAATTATTTAGCACAAGGAGTGGTGTGTCCCGTCAGAGACATTTGACTTCGAAAAGTTTTCATATTTTCCACATCTGGTAGGTTGTATAAATGAAACTTAAAATCCTCTTTTAAATAATGATAAGTAATGATTATAGCTAAAAATTACAAACTTAAAACAATTTACAGTGAATTTATTGCCACATTTTATCATTGTCTCTGACGGGACATTTTCTGTCCCTGACGGGACATTTTCTGACAGATGTGAAACA